AGAAGCTACAAAAGCTCAAAGTGTCCATTAAAGTGGGAACAAGAATCGTAGGAGACTTCACTACAACAAAAGGGCTCATGCAGGGTTGTTCCACATCTCCAACCCTATTCAAAATATACTTAGAGAAAGCCTTGACTACGTGGAAAAGAAAATGCGAAGGCATGGGAGTACCGGTACGGAACGAATACCTATATATGTTAAGCTTTGCAGACGATCAAGTAGTGATTGCACAAGACCAAGACGACCTCAGCTATATGGTGAAGAAATTGCAAGAAGAATATACCAAGGCTGGCCTAGATATTAACCTCGCGAAAACAGAGTACCTATCTACAAGTGAAGAAGACATAGAAGATCTACAGATTGATGACAACGTAACAATCAAAGGAAATGACAAATTCAAATACTTGGGGTTTATAATCACAAAAAAGGCAACAACAGAGGAAGAAATTACGCAAAGATTAGGACAAACAAGAACATCAATCCGACAACTTAACTCAGTATGGTGGGATAGACATCTAAATATGAAGACAAAAACACAGATTTATAAAACATTAAGGTAAATGCACTAGTACTTGACACTGTACCAGTAGTTGACATTTTCCATTTTAAGCATAAATAATAAGCTTTTCCAATTATTTTTAATGTAATTATTACCATCATAGTTAACTAGTGTCATCTATACATCTTCTCTGTAACTGTAGAATTATTTAACCTTGAAACAGAAAATTCCCACCAAATTTTTGTCAGAGTGTTGTGTGAGCTTCAAGTGGCAACAAGTTTTCTAAACAAAAGTATTAAGAAGGTAAGTTTAAAAAAATTAATATTTATTGATTAAATTGTGAATGACTGTAGTTTTAGATATATCAATATATTATATGAATATTAAGGTAACATCTTGCTAATGTTTTAAGTTTGTTTTATTCTCAAAACAAAAATTAGGCTAGGTGTCAATTACTAACTCACAAATACACAAAAATACTAGTAGTTGACATAGGTGTCAACTACTAACCATTTATACTGAGACTGTAAAAACTTAATATTTTATTGTTATTTTCATTGTATATAATGTGTACACTTATATTTTAAATATCACGTAAATGTATCCACTCTATCTAGTAGTTGACACTATGTCAACTATTGAAACACTTTGGATGTCAACTACTAAAACAAAAATTTTAAATTTCAGTTAAAAATATGCCTCCTATAAAAGGACAAATGTTCCAATATACAGAAGAAGCTATGGAGAAAGCTATTGAGGAAGTTCTATGTGGAAAGCCAGTTTCAGCAACATTTAACATTACACACTAGTAGATTTTGCACTGAACATGGTATTATATTGGTAGCCCTTCATCCAAATGCAACACATTTGCTTCAGCCAATGGATGTTGCTGTATTTCGTTCTTTGAAAGGGGGTTGGAAAGATGCAGTACACCAGTGGCGGATTGAGAATCAGGCTTCTCCAGTTTTAAGGAAAATTCACTTCTGTCCTCTTTTGAAAAAAGTTCTAGAGGAAAGGTTTAGTACCATCAATTTTAAAAAATGGTTTCCGAAAATGTGGCTTAGTTCCCTGGATGTTGGTGCGATTATGTTTCACAATGAGAAAATAGACATTTCAAAGAAAATGCAGGAATTGCAGGAAATGAAACAAGGGAAAAACTTTATAGAGAAACATATTGATAAACAAAAACTAGCTCTTTTCAAAACAAGCCTAGAATGGAACAATGACAATGAAGATTTATCTCTCTTTCACTTTTACAAAAACATTTGCATAAAATACAGTCTTTTAGAAGAAGAAATAAACAATTTGAAAGCGAAACAAGGTGCGAAAGAACCAGATGATGAAGACAATATTATTGAAGATGCCACTTATATTGAGGACATACCAAATGTTGAAGACAGCCCTAATGTTGAAGACATTTACGTAGAGAACAAACCTGATAAGCCAGTCGAAGAACAGTATGAAATAGGTGAGTTATTAAACCAATCTGAGGCTGAAACAGGTAGAAACATTTCGGATGTTTTGGAAGGTCACACTAGTCCCACTAGGAAAAATCTTCAACATAACAATATTGCTATTATTCAAGACACTTGTGCTTCTTCATTAACACAATCACAAGTTCCATCTTCAGCAATTGAAGAATTACCTACACCTTCTACATCAAATGAAATTATACCCTCTCCTTTTAAACGAATACTGTTTTGGCCTGAACCCAGAGTATCCGCAGTAAAAAAAAGAAGAGTGGAAAAAGTTCCTTCTGTGGCTAGTTCAAAAGAATGGCAAACTTATCATGAAAATAAAGAAAATAAGAAGATCAAGCTTCTTGAAGAAAAACAGAAAAGAGCAGAAGAGAGACAAAAGAAAAGAGAAGAAAAAAACTTTGTTAAAAAACAGAAACTGAAAGTGACGAAAAAAAAGTAAGTAAGAAAAAGGAAGAATCATCAAGTGATAATAATGAATCATAGGTTGAATCTGGTAGCAGTAAAATGACAGTAAAACTTCATTTCGAATTAATGATAAAGATGTGAGCGTAATAACATTTCATCAAATCCTAAAAAGGATGCCCCAACCTCAGATACTCATTTCAGGAGAAAGAATAAAGTATCAGTTTCCAGATTCAGTGGATGTGGATGGCTAACATTAAAGTTCTCCTGTAATTACATATTCTTAATAAAATTATCAAAATATATTTGGGTGTCAATTACTAAACCTTGGATGTGTCAACTACTAATTTTTTTTCATTTTGTTGTGTCAACTACTGACACTTTTGCAACAATTTTTGTAAATTTTATAAAAAATATTTAGAAAGCAGAATTGTCCAAAAATTTATTTGTTAAATATTCAGGAAGGATTAGATTACCTGAATATACATATATTTTTTATTTAAGTTCAACTACATCGGTTTGAGGCTAAATAATGTTTTTTTTTTCCTTCTTATAATGTCAACTACTAGTACATTTACCTTAGTGCGAATTTATTATGACATATGGGGCTGAAAATTGGATAATAAACAAGAAAAACAGCAGTAAGATAGTAGCAACAGATATGGAATGCCTGCGAAGATGGTGCAGAGTAACAAGAATGGATAGGAGAAGTAATGACGAAATAAAGCAAAGAACATCAATAGAAACAGACATACTAACATATATAGAACAAAAAAGACTAAAGTGGTATAGACATGTAAGAAGAACTAGCGACAGCTATGTATATGTAAGTATATGTGTTTCTCCGTCGTACTCGTATATTTTCTGTATCACTTGTGTTAGCGTATGTATAACGTCTATCGTGGATCTTCTTTTTCTGAAACCGTACTGGTAATCTCTTATACTTTGTTTTTGAGTATTGTTAGTCTGTCTCTAATTATACCAGTCATTACTCTATATGTTACGGCAGTGGTCCTTGGGAAAGGATCCTTGGCTGAATTTTTTTAATCAAAAATATAAAGTCGAAGAACTATACAAGTTTGTTTTTATGGAAAAAACTTGGATTTTTTAGAATGGATCTATATGTCACTTATGGCAACATGAGAATAAAAGAAGTGTAAAATCTATTAAAACTGATAAAACCGATAATATATTTTTAATTATATTGAAAACATAAAGGTGTTGAAATAAAATTATTTTGTAGATACATTATTCTTCATGCTGGTAATAAAAATGGCTTCATTGAGAGCGCAGAGGCTATATTTTCCTCAAATCGGCTATAATGGACTACCTTGGGGAAATAAATTAAGCAAATTTTTTATCTTGCTTTGAAAATCAACTGTTAAAAAGTTTGTCTGAAATCTGAATCATCCCCACTTATAATGGATAACGCTTCATACCATAGCATGTTGTTAGAGAAAGCACCAAACATGTTTTCAACCAAGATTGAAATAAAAGATTGGTTAACTAACCACAAACTGAATGAGACAATGTTGAAAAACGAGCTTTTGCTGATTTTTGCGCAGTAAGTACGCCTAATGAGAGTTTAGTTCAGGTTATCAGTATTTATTTTTAGAAACAAGCCACCTCCAAAAAAGATTGTTGATGATTTAGCAGAACATTATGGCCATAAACTATTACGTCTGTCACCATACCACTGTATTTTCCATGCTATAGAAGAGCGGTCAAGATGACTATAAAGAATGTGATGCTTTAAACATGTGGAAAGAAGCTCTAAAAGCTGTTACACCCCAGATATGGCAAAATTCTATTAGTCATACAGAAAATGTATGACTAAGAAAATGTATGTAATTAAAAAGTGGTATGACCAAGAGCATATGCTAGATAGGAAATTCTACCTATTATAAACAACTAATATAAACGGTGACAGTGATTCCAGTAGCAGCCGTGACATAGACAGTGATTAATAAATAAAGCATCTTATGATTCTAAGCATCAAAATTAAGCTTCATTTTGATGGGTTTAAACTGAAGATGAAACAAGTCCAGATTTAGGCTTTCTTATACCTACTTTTTTCATCCATCTTATGAATTTTCTACAAAACCATAAGATGGATGAAAAAAGTATAAGAAAGTCTAGTACTGTAACTTTTAAGCAACACACTTTTTTCACATTGTTCACAAATTATATAAATCCATCATAATGCACAATTGTAACGTATCGATCAAAAAACTGAAACTTAAATCAAGCTGAAGAAAAAATATTGATTAACATTTGCAAATCTAATTCTAACAAGACATTTAAAAGAAAATAAGTAATAAAAAAGTGTTGTTTTTTAATCTATTTTACTTCTTTATACTATATAAATGGCTGACTGATTATTAGTTAATTCTTGTTTTCTATTTCTAATTTTTTTATTTATTTACATTGAATATTAATTTGATTTATTGTACAATCCACTTCTGCAATAATTATGTGAAATATTTTATTTAAAATTAATCCAGGAATTTCTTTGCAACTTGACAACAATGTCAACTTAGATCTCTGACGTAGATAATGACGTGCATCGGGGTTTATAATGTAAAAACTGGAAATAAATAAAAAATAATAATACTTACAGGTCACCTTTCTTTGTTGTTAAAATAATTCGGTTCTTTAGTGCCTGAATCTTATTAATTCTGGTCTTGCAAAATAGACATATCTTTCTAGATTTTACATCTTTCAACATTTTAGACACAAAAGTATTGCGGAGTGTTTCGGTATTTTGACTGGTAATATTGTTCCCTCCTAAATTCTCTATAAAAATAATTGTTTAAGAATATATTAAAAATGTTAAGTACAAAACATTTTAGAATTAAAATGTAATCAATATATAATGAGTCTTAACCACAATTGTCAAATCGAAACTACTTCATCATAAAAACTTCTGCCTCCTCCAGAATCTGAAAAATAATAAACATATCCACAGTATCCATATCTCAAAACATTAAACTACGTTTCAAAACTTGCATTTTGAAAATGGCTTCCAAACCTGAAAGTAGCAACATCAATTAATTAATTATATTATTGCAATTCTGGTTGAACACTGCCTAGGGTGATTGCGGGGTGGTTTGAGTAGCTCTGCGGTTATCACAGCCGGTCCCAAGCCCGTATAAAATAAGGGGTGTGATTGGCAAGGTTAGCAACCTACCAATCGTAAAAACAAATACTGCTCAAAGAAACAATGTACAGCCTCGGAACCGGATTGATACTATCAAGACGACCACGGCAAGATATAAGGACAATCAAAAAAAAAACCAAAACCCAGATAAGAATTACTACTTGGAATATCAGATTGCTCAACTCAAGGGACCAAGAAATAACCCAAGTGCTAAAAGAGAAAGAAATAGACATTTGTGCTCTACAGGAAACAAAAAAGAAAGGAAAAGGACAATCAAAATTGGGAGAATACATACTAATCTATAGTGGAGCAGCAAAACAAAAATGGGCCAAAGAAGGTGTAGCCTTACTAATACACCAAAGATACCAAAATAACATCAAAGAATGTCAATACATATCAGAAAGAATACTAACATCAAAGATAAGAATGGAGAAGGAAGACCTGAACATCATCGGAGTATACGGCCCAGAAAATAACAAGCCTCAAACGACAAGGAAAGCGTTTTATGACCAATTACAGCAAGTAGTAAAAAGACCAAAGATCTATGATAGATTATGTTATAACCAACAAAGATTCATCGAAAATAATAAGAATCATCCTGAAATACTTTCCACCCAAGAAAGCGGCGCCAACAGAAACAACAATCAAAGTCGAAGGACTAAATACGGAGTTCACGGAATGCTTATACAGGAAAAAAATATCAGAGATCATCGCTGGGAATGAAATATTAGAAAACGATAACATCGAGGAAATCTGGGAAAGACTCAAAAATAACATAATTAACGCAGCAACAGAATCACTTGGAAAGTAACGAACACTAACTAACTAATATCAAAAAAGAAAACACCATGATTTAGAGAGGAAGTGAAGACAGAATGTGAAGAAAAGAAGAAAACCTTTTTACAATATAGAACACAACAAACACAACAGACATACAACCACTATAAACGAATCAGAAATGAAACTAATACTTTAGCTAGACAAATAAAAAAGCAAGCTTCTCAAAACAGATTGAGTCTTCTCTCAATGCGAACACAAAAAGAAATATGGAGAATGATGAGAGGACAAAGAAAAGAAATCAACGAACTAATAAAAACGAAACACATTCAGAAGGAAACATGATAGACTACTTTCGATCCCTATTTGCTAAAGGTGACGATAATGAACCACCAACACCAGAGGTGACGACAAACGAAGAAATAAATATTGAGGAGAAGAGGTAAAGGAAGCATTAAGGAAATTAAAAAATAGAAAATCACCAGGAGAGGACAGAATACCGAACGAACTCCTAAAGTACGAGGACCAGATCTGACCAAACAACTATTAAAACTAATCAAAAAATAATAGAACAAAACAGAATTCCTCAAGAATGGAGATCAAGCATCCTAATACCTCTCTTCAAAAAGGGAGACAAATCGGACCGGAAAATTACAGAGGAATTAATTTATTAAACACAACATTAAAATTAACAACCAAAGTGATAACAAATAAACTGAATGAAATTATAACACTAGCAGAAGAACAACAAGGTTTTAGGTCGGGAAGATCATGCACCGACGCTATATTTATAATGAGGCAAGTGCAAGAGAAATCATTAGAATACAACAAACCGGCATATCTATATTTCGTGGACCTTAAGAAGGCATTTGACCGGGTCAAATTAAAAGAGGCTATCCACTTACTATATGCAAGAGAGATACCTCTAGGAATAATCAAAACGATCGAAAATACCTACCAAAACAACACAATAAAAGTAAAAGTAGAAGAAGTACTAACCGACCCTAGGCAATGTTAGGAACTTTAGAACAGTGGAGAATAAAAAATGATACCAAATGGGAAAAAAACAACTTAAACTAATCTGCTATGCAGACGACGCAATACTACTCTCTCAAAGTGAAGATGATTTACAACGTAAGCTGCACCAGTTTAATATAACCGCCAAAAAATTTAACATGTTAATTTCCCCAAAAAAGACAAAATGCATGGTTACAACAGCAATTTTACTAAGATGTAAATTGGAGCTGGAAGGTCAGATAATAGAACAGGTGATGGAAAGCTCAAACTGAAGTGAAAGATCAAGTGAATAGAGCAAACAGAGCCGCAATCTGCCTGAATGAAACAATATGGAGAAATAAAAATATCGTAAAAAAATAAAAGGCAGAATTTACAAAACAGACTTAGTTACATGAAGGTAATTATGATTACCAGTAGACCTCTGACTGATAGGGAATTAGAAGAAATAACAGCTATTTTTGGAATAGTGATGATGATTTAGATAAGTGAATCTCAAGAAGAAAGTCCTAAAAATACAAACTTGGAAAATAAACCTGTTAAGTTGAACACTGAGGATTTTTCCATTGAATTTGAAGATGGAATTATTGTCAATGACGACCATCCTCTCCATGAGCTGGAAACTTGTTCAAAGAATGCTGATGCTTCTCAAAAGTCTCTTATAATGCGAAGTACGAATACAGTCTAGAGAAAAAAATTAATTATTGATGAGACTGTCAAGACCTTCAAAGGAAATAATCAACTTTCCAACAATCTTTTGGAGTTGCCTATACCTTTTGCTGTTTTCAACTACTTTATTGATAAATCAGTAATAGACAAAATAGTTTCAGAATCAAATCTATATTCAACACAAATACATCCAAGTAAACTAGCTGGACTAAATAATAAAGATATAAAACAGTATTTAGATGTATGCATCTATATTTCATTGGTTCAAATTCCCAATTGCTGCATTTATTGGTCTCAATCATTAGGGCATCCTTAAATAAAGACCGCCGTGAATGAAAAACGATTTGAATTTATAAGAAAATGTATAATCTTCAATGATAATACCAACTTGGATCAAAACGATCCAGATCGAGATCAGCTACGACCGATCGAGTTACGACCAATAGTTAACCACTTAAATAATAAATTTCAAAGCATTCCATTAGAAGAAAAGCTTTCTATAGATTAATCAGATGTGCGCTTCCAAAGCCAGGCACTATATGAAGCAGTAAATGCCTACAAAACTTCATAAGTGGGGTCACAAGCTTTTCATTTTATAGGTGTTTTCATATAATATTGAAATTTACACTCGTGATGAAAACAATAAAAAGTTTAGAGTTTTATAAGAACCTGACCTATAAGTAAGCGCCAATGTGGTTGTAAGATTATCAAGAATTATTCCTCTTAAACAAAATTTTGTTTTCTGCTTTCACAATTATGATACATCCTTGACTTTATTGCAATATTTAGCCTATAGGGGAATATATTCATTGGGTACAGTAGTACAGTAAATTACAGTTAAAAGATTCTGCAAAGAAAATGAACATTGGAGATTCTGTTGAAAATATATATGAAATCGAAAAGAGTAGAAATATAGTCAGTTGTATGGAAAGACAACAAAACTATGTGTTTATTATAACAAATATCATTGCTTGATTAACAAGTATATGGTAGGTATCGACCTTACGGATAGCATCATAGGGCATTACAAGATCAAATCCAAAAAGTGGTACATGTGCCTTTTTTAATATGCTTTATTGACTATTATAAATTCCTGGCTTTTGTACCGACGATACCTAACTAATAGAGGAAGTGAAAAGCCTTTGAAGCTAGCCGATTTTCGAGCAGAAATTGCAAATTGTGCAATGTTGGATATAATCGACTGCCAAAGAGAGGAAGGATATCTATCATAAATGGAAAAATACATTGTTGAAAAAAATAAAAGATCAGCAACAATGCGTCACGTTCAACCTAAGGAAACCAGGTTTGATGGACAGTCACACTAGCCTTAATATCAAAAAATATTAGACAAATATGCAAGATGCATTTTTGTCTCAATACAAACAATAACTTCATAAATTCCATGCTACTTAGTTATTATGAATGATTGTACATTTTAACCACTATGTATCATAAATGATACAATAATATTTTTTAAATAAAAGTTTTTGATTAACTAAATTTTTTTTATTATTTTTATACCTCAATATACAGCCTAACACATAGAGATACTTACTTAACGTTTCATCAGCTAATACCTCATATTTTAATACACTTTTTATACTTTCAGTTGGAATATTTTCAAACTTTTCATATTTTGAAATTAATTCCGTTATTACTGCTTCTACTGACATGGCTTCTGTAATCATTCCACAATTTAAAAGTTTCATTTGAATACATAACACTTTTTTTATGTGCGCTAAAAATTAAAGAGCAAAGATTAATCACACTAATTCTTAATCAGAATTGTATTATAATTGAGCAGATAGCGAACAGTTTTAATAATATTCAAAATATTTATTTACTGTTTTAAAAGATATTGACAACATATTGATAGAATTAACATTAGCATCGAATAGAACTCTACCACACCTAAATAAAAGGCTGCTTTGTTTTGATGTAAGGCCAAGCTATAAAAATATCCCTCAGAAATACTCCTACAATATTTCAAGCAGAACTAACAGTAATATATTTTTGTGTTAAAGAGTTGCTAAAAGAAAACGCCGCCTCAATTGGGTCAAAATATTTACTACCTCAGACGACCAAGCTGTACTAAAAAATTCTAAATGAGGTCTACAACTTACAGATATGAAACAGCTAACAGACCCAGTAATAATATTTTAACGAAGTGTGGTCCACAGTACACAGCTTTATAGCAACAAATGATTCATTATTAAAAAAGTGTAAAATAAACTGTCCAAAAAATTTTAGCGGCGATTAACAACAACTAGAAAAAAAATGGAAAGCATGAAATATCTTCAAAATGAACGAATTGTATGGACAGCAGAGAGTTTTACTATCATATTTCAAGAAAGCTGTCTTACAGATTGTGCGGCTTATTTTCTCTTAAATATATATAAGCGATAATTAAATGGATAGGTTTGTAATCAAAGCTGATCGGTTAGACTACAAACACAACTATTTGGGTATGCATCTGAAAACAGGACAAAGAAGTACTCTTTTTTAGTTGACCCAACTTTCGCAAATCTTTAATTGTGTCGGATATCGTCGTTTGTTTTTTAATTTTATATATGTATGATTTAAAAGAACTGTGTTCGGTCAGGAGTTGTGCAAAGACATAATTTATTATTCTTCTGAACATACATTTATACCATGCTGTTACATCGGATATTAGCATTTTTGTCCATTATGCCTTTCCCCTTTATGTTTCCCATTCTTATTGCCATTCATCAAGCATTTGGTTTCTAATTTCATCTCTTAACAGTATCAGGTGGCCATTGCCACTATCACATAGGGCGGCTTTTTCTTTCACTAGGAGGTGAATAAAAAATATACCTGCAACCACCTGTAAGGCAATCATAGATGTAGCCACACACTAACTACTTTAAGAAGGAGCTTTCTTTGAGCTCTTGTAACCAGATCTTTATACTTGGCAAACCTTAAGACTTCAATCCATACAAAAGGATTGAACGTACTATTTGCAGGTGCATTCTTCATTTATGATTACTTGGCTCACCTTATTAGGCATAATTTTCATAATGCCCACTGTTCTGCATTCCGCTGTCTGGACTACATTTATGAGGTGTTTGGTAAATTGTAGATCTTTTTTTAAGGTGTGTGCCTAGATATTTAGCATAATTGGTTGGTAGTATCGTCATACTTGCAAATTGAAAAGTCAGGTTGGGTATCGCTATGGATCCTTTTAGTATATTTATCTCTGTTTTATTAAATGTCAGTTCTAAATCATTAGTTGTCATCCACCTAATAACTTTTCTCCAGCATATATATTAACTTTATTACATCTGAGTTTGTGTCACCTTCTATTAGTATTGCTAAGTCGTCTGCATATGAAATTGCTGACGCACCTCTACCATAATCTATTTCTAACACTCTATTATATAAGACATTCCACAACGTTGGACCTAATACAAATCACTGCAATACTCCAGCCAACAGTTTTGTTTTTTCTTTACTTGTCACTTTAATATATCAGTCAGTGAGGTAATTTTTAACTATATTTATTAGGTAATCTGCCACTCCAGCAGTTTCCAGTTTCCTTATGAAGTATGCTCAGTTGGCAGAATTGAAAGCATTCTTAAAATCGAACATAACAAGAATTGACCATTTATTTGTTTACAGCTGATCTAGTTTTCTTAAAACTATATTGCTGGTCAGAATTCTTGTGTTTAAGAGCCCTTGTTCAAGACAGCATTTTATGAGGCTGTTATAAAATTTCCCAATACAATCTAATAAACATATAGGCCTGTATCAACTATCCCCATCCAGTGGTTTTTCAGGTTTTAAGATTAAGGCTAAATTTGCAATCTTCAGTTGATCTGTAAATTCTTGGTTATGAAGGAGTTCATTCAATATCTTTCTGGCGACTTCAGTATTTTCTTGTACTACAATCTGTATGGTTTCTGGTCTCACACTATAGGGTCCAGGAGATCTACAGATCTGGCAATTTTTTTTTTCTATACAAAGGTTATATGGGATCTCAGACTTCAGTGTATCTGTGGCAATTTTATAGGTTTTACCCCATATATCGTTGTCTAGTGCATCACACAGTTTGTGCCAGCATGTGCATTTAGCCCACTTTATTTCTTTATTTTATGGATGTTCTCTAAAATTTGCTAACATTAAGCAATTTACTGTTGGCCTCAAATCAATCAAAGAGGAATTGAGATTATGATGAAATCTCATACATTTTAAACTTATATTAATTTAACTTAACAAATGAAGTTTTAACATATCATTATTGAATGTAGCTATTATATTAGAACATGTACTTACTTGGTAGTTGTATCTGAAAACATGATAAACATGATATTTTTACAATGGTTCCAATAATTTTATGAAACAGAGGATTTACTACTGGCAAAGGAAGTTCAATGTATCCAAAATGACCAGGGCAATTGGTGAATGTCTGGTTACAAGATTCACATAGAGTATCTTTGTCAGAATATGGTCCTAAAAAAACGGTTTTTAAATATAATATGTTATTGACAACTAAGATATAAAACATGATTCAACTTTTTGTTAATTACCAATATGTGAATACTTCATTTATATATGAATAGAATCGCATGAAAAGTATACAATCTCCAAATTTTTACGAAATTGAGTTAAGTATATAGAAACGCTCAGTATCATCAATATTTTCTCTGGAATAGTGACAATCAATCTTAATTCAAGAAATACCCGCTAGGGAGCGCATTGGTTAGTTTTAAATTGGAAGGATCGTGCAAGTACGCACGCTGTTTCGCTTAAAGAGTATACAAAACCAAAATATCAACTTGAAGGTAAGCTTTATGTTTCATTAATAGTGTATAATTTCGAATTTATTTAACTTTGCTCATAATATTTTCAAACATTATTCTATTTAAAATCATGTAATTTTGAAATTGTATAGTTTTCGTGAAAAAATTTACTGGTATATGATGCAATCTTTATCAGTGTAATAGTATATTTCCGTAATTGTATACTGTTTCAGATAAAGTTGAACAAAAAATTGATTTAAATTCGTAATTGTATTGTTTTAATTACAAACTTTACATCGGACTGTGTTTAATTATGATATTGTATTCTTTTTGATGTATTATTTAACGTTAGTTTTCTGTTATGTTTTCGTTAATGTCGCATATTTACTTATATTGTTTGTTTTGCTAAAAAGAAATAATAGTATGTGATAAAGTTATTTTTTACAGGTCCATATAATTTTTGGAAATGGCAAGCAGAAGAGTATTTTTGGAAAATCTTAAAGAAAAACATTAACTGAGTCAAAGGAAAATAGGAATGTACCTTTTGTTATATATTCGTTATATAAATCATATAATTTCATAATAAAAATAGTATTATATATATATATATATATATATATATATATATATATATATATATATATATGTATAGAATAAATCTTTTAGCAAAAAGCTGCTATCGCTTTGTTGTATTAAATTGGCCAAATATATGGCCTAGGAGGACAAATTCGTTAAACTTCCCTTGTTCGAATCGGTATATATCATATAAAGTGTTATGACTCATTTCGGCCTATCCCAGCCTCATCAGACACTTGGGCTGATACAAATTCAAACTCGGAAAGTTGAACGAATGTCTCCTAAAGCTTCACCACTGCTATATATTATATATTATATATATATATATATATATATATATATATATATATATATATATATATATATATATATATATATATATATATATATATATACTCATTCCGTAATTGAGAGAAACATAAAAAAAGCCCTTAAATTTGGACCTATATATACTCCTGATCAATACGATTCTTTAATAAGGACAGCCAAGAAATCCGTTATTCCTTACAAAGAAAATAAAACTGTTAAAATGAATGATATAAAAATTTTACAAATTACAAAAGCTAATCGTGGCAGTTTTTTTATAAGACTTCATACAGTCAAGAACATTTTAAAATGGTAAAAGGTGCATCTGGTAATTCAAAAGCTCTAAGAGAAAACTATTTATTTAAATCATTATACCACGTACCTATTAAAATTTCACAGCAGAAGAAAAATGGTTTATTGGGTTTATTGCCAAAGAAAACCATTCCTGGTTATTATCTTGGATTCTATGAAAATCTTTAAAAAACTTTTCCGTTCCTTTTAATTTGTTTTTAATTTATTTTACTTTAATTGATTGTTTGTATTTAATAGTAAATGTGATTTTGTTAAATAAAGAGTTTTGCCTTCGGTACACTCATTTGTAGGACTAAGTTTCATTGTAGGGTTAATTTTTTTTTGTACGTTGTAAATTCTTACGTTTATGCCTTATTACTGTTTGTTATAATATTTTTGAAAATAAAAATTTGCTTATAATCCTAATTTTTCATTGGACAAACCCTATTTTATCATAATAGTACTTTTTAAACATCTGTATAATAATGGAAATTAATAATATTTTCTCTGAAAAAGTAGCAAAATTCAAAATGTCTTATTAAAAAAAATTTTTAATATTATTATTTATATGGTTGAAATATTTTCAAGTTTTTTCGACATAGAAAAGATACAACTAATACAAACTAAAACAAAAGCCTGCTAATGTTTATTGTGAAAAATTTTATTTAGCGATAAATCTTAAAAATGCTCTCCTGAAAAGTTTGTAAATTTTGAGATTGTACAGTTTTCATCCGAACGGACGATATGTAAAACGCATATATACTTATTGCTGTGATCACAGATGGGTTTATATATATCTATATGATTAAATGAATCCGTAGAGAGCTATGAAGTGAATTACACCAAGACACAAGCCTCAATCTGTTGATGTATTGCTCATCCATAGGTTGATCCAATATACACAGCATTCTAGTATAAGTAGCATAAGCATGTTCATTTAGACTTTAACTACTACATTGGCTTTTTTGTTTTTTAATCATATAAGTAAAAGTTCAAAATCTTTAGAAATTATACAATATAATAAAACTAACAAATTATTTCTGATGACATTATAACAAGAATTTTAATTCTTAACTGGGTTACTATCTATATAATGTGGTCATTATAATATGGATAATATAAATTTAAAGCTTAGATACTAAATAATATAACAAGTAAAAGTTCAAAATTTACAGAAATAATACAATATAATAGAACTGAAATAATGTTGAAAACGTAATTTAAAATCGCATTATTTATTTACCTAATTTACGATCATATAAACCTCCTTGTAGAGGGTGACCCAAGGGATCTAACATAAGTGGGGTAATAATCTGAGTAACACACATTTTCTTGATTTGTTCTGTTGTAAAAAGCGAGAAGCTCACTTTATCGGGTGTTAAATGAATTTTCATGTTGCTTTCTATTTAATAATCTTGTTTTAAAACACAATAATAAACATAAGATTCAAAAATTTGAAACTTAACCCTACAAAAACATGCTTTCTTTCTGTCATATCTATGCTTTCTGTGCTTTTGTAATCATTCTGTCTTCTTCTGTTTGAAAGATTCTAGAGTGGTGGATGTACGACATAAGATAATCATCCACGTGAACCAACAATCACAGAACTTACCAATTTAAATTTATACTTTTTATCTTCTATCTTTGGACCTAGCCTAAGAATAAAAGTACAAACAAAATCAGAACCAGAAATCAAGAAGACAAACAAATAAAAAATAGCCGTGAAGTAAAATAAAGACTTATGAAACACAAATACAAACAATGGGAATATTGTAACAAACAATAAACAGTATAGTAACAAACATACTTCGGGTGCTTCGGTCTAATAGTCGTCATCGTTTCTAGATGGGTGGTAACAACTAAAACTGATTGTTTTTTTATCTTAATATATTCGTTAAGTTCCTTCCCTCCCATTTGCTATCTGAAACGTTAGGATTCGATAAGTTATTTATTTTGTACTCAGTCAGGAGCCTTTTTAAAATTAATAAAGCAAATTTATCTAATAGTGTGTCTATTAAGCTGGATTTATAGTATGACGTACTGTAAACGTAGACGCACTGAAAAAAGATCAACATAGAATTTTGTGCACTCTTATTAATAAATGAACGTAAACTTCCAAATGAACGTTAAACTTAAAAGAGTTGGCCAACTTTCATCTTTTAGTGTGTTACTTGCGTCTGGCCAATCAAAAGGAAGAATTTTGTGATGTCAACCAAAGTGAACTGTCTGGCCCGCCCACCATTTTGTAAATTTTCTTATCAAGCTCGAACATATTCAAATATTGATTTTGTTGATTATTTGTTACAATGGACGTTAAAATTTATAAAATAATAATAATAATATAATAATAAAAATATATTATAGTATCATGGTCACCAACTCTAGCCACTGTTTCTACTCATGCGCAAAAATTCCACTCCGTCGATTTATAAATTGAAATAATATTTACAGTCCGTTTGTTACGTCTCCAGTGCGTCTACGTCTACAGTCCGTCAAACTATAAATCCAGCTTTATCATCACTACTGTCATGTGATATCTAGTATGAGAGTATACTTTCATTAATAACGAAGATAAGGAGTAGTGCTCTTTTGGTAGTCACATTTGTTTTTTTAAATCTTAATATAACCCTTATCCCCTGCCTTTCATTTAACGCATCATAAGCAGCAATCTGACTAACAGCAACGGATATAATATGATGTAATGCCGGCGCTAAGGCTTTCCTTACCGACAGACAGAATAAGCAAATTATATAGATTGATACGTTCATGTGATATCTCGTAGCGGTATACGTTCAGTATTAACGAAGATAAAGTATTCGCACTTTTGATAGTCGCCTTGTTCGTTTTTTCTATCTTAATATAATCCTTCTCCCCTTCCCTTTCATTTAACGCTCCAATCTAACCAATAACAACTGAGATATGATGTAATGCCGGCACTGGGGTTTTCATTATGGACAGACAGACCGAATAAACAAATTACATATTGTACCGAAATAGCCCATCTCCGATGCGTGATATGTGTCACAGTTCTTAGAAGTATGAATCTTGAATATACTATCGTTTGGCATTCTCGATGCGCTTTTGAAGGGAAGGATAGAGGTGGACTACTCCAGAATATTCTAGTACATAATAACTTGTATATATTGGCGACGTGCAAGTACTTGGATGTGATACGAGAAACGATCGTGCGCGAGTAGCGGAGAAATCTTGCATTTTTTACTGCAAATTTCATAGATTTCATAAATTCATATTGTCAATTGTCATATTTCATATTCGTTTGTTTATTTACACCTTCTGTCACTGAAGAAAATGGGATTTAGGAAATGCTGTGTTATAAATTGTAAAAATACAACAAAAAATTGTCAATTTAAGTTTTATTCGTTTCCAACTTCGAAGCACAAATACTACAAGAGAAAAGTGGATTTATATCATAAAAAAGCATAAGTAACATAACCTAAATTATGCATTATTCTTGCGCCCGATTTTAAAGTCAGTTTGAAATAAATAATAAATAAAAGTTCACTTTTAAGTGTAAATTTTAGTTTCATAACACTCACTTAGAGTTCATTTTAACCCAAAAATCAAGTTTAATGTTTAAATTTTATTTTTTTGAAGTTTACAAAAATGCATCAAGTTCAAGTTTTTCTGAAGATGCATTAAGATATATTCGCTGTCCAAAAGTTTACAGGGAAAGAATTAATTGTTCAAACCAATATGATGATATCATGGGCTTAACCTGCTAATTTATGCATTAGCATTATTTATGGTAATTTATTTTTCTTAATTCTTCCACATAATTCTTCCATTCTTTTTTGACATTTGCCACTACTAAAGCTTTTCCATTTGACTCAGTGCTTGGTTGAAAAGTTATTTGGTGATTTACTTTCTCAAATCCAGTTTTTATTATTGCATCCATATTAACAGTAATGCTGTAATTTAATAATATATTTATTTGTATTTACACTACATACAACGTTTACCTTTTAATAACATACCGACATAACCTCAATCTTACTTTTTCTTCTTATTCTTTTTTGGGGCTACGTCCTTGACAGTTATCCGGTAACCTCGATCTAACATGAAAGCGCAGTAAATTTTGCTGATTTACGACACCAGGTGTCGCTGTTCCGAACTTGCACGGTCCCAATTTCTAACCAGCATCTATTTATTTATTAACTAATGTATAAAATACACTTCTGCACCTAATCCCCATTGAAGAAATAAACTTATTGTATATTATAAATAACATGTCTTTTCAACCTTTACTGAAATGTTTATCGCCATCATCAACATGTACGGGTACACTCATGGATATAGGTCTCCCTCAGCTCTTTCAATTTTCTCTGTCTTTTGCGGCTTGAATTTAGTTACTGCTAATACGCTTCAGGTCGTCAGTCCATCTTTGGTTTCCTTTGAAAAAGGTATTTGCAGAGTGCTTAAAGATAGTCATTATTATTCCTCTTCACAAGGGTTGTGAAAAATCGAATGCCTGCAACTATAGACCTATTGTTACTACCGGTTCTATCCAAAATTATGAGAGACTTATAAAAGCCCGACTTAGGTCCTTTCTCGTTGAAAACAACATTTTATAGCAAAATCAGTTTGGCTTTTTATCTAATGGTGCCAGTGATGCTATGTTTTCTGGACTACATGAGCTTTACCAAGCATTAAACAATAACCTTTACACTGCCACTAGTTTTTGTTACTACGCCAAAAAATTTCTACGTAATTCGAGGTATCTCTTTGAATTGGTTCCAATCTAACTTTGGGAATAGAAAAAAACTATTTTAAAGCATTAAAAAAATTTAAATTTCTGATTTCTCTCAATATCCTCAACTATAGTGCCCTCTATACCCAATTATTGTTTCATCACTTCATTCCGTATTCTGTCGGCTCTTGATATTCTCATCGATCTTCTGATGGCATCCATTTCCATGGCTTCGACCTTTTTCTTATATTTCTCGGTTATTCTCCATGTCTCAGCTCCATAAAGTAGGCTAGTTTTAACCATTGTCTCATAGATGTTCCATTTTCTTTTCTTTGATATTCCTTTACTTCATAGAACTCCGTTCAAACATGCTATAGCTGTTCGTGCGTGTACAATTCTATGTTCTATTTCTCGTTCGTCTTTTCCACTACGATCGAAGATGACGCCCAGGTATTTATATTCGTGACATGGATTTATTTTTTGATTGTCATCGATATCGAGTTGTTCTGCTTCAACTCCAATTGAGAGGTATTTTGTCTTTTCTAAATTAATATTTAATCCTCATTTCTGGTATTCTTCAATTAGTTTTCTAAGCATATATTCCATGTCGTCTTTGTCATTTGAGATCACCACCTGATCATCTGCAAACTGTAAAGTATATATGCAATCCTGATCGTTCAATTGTATACCCATTCCTTTGACTTTCCTTTCCATTGTTTCAGAGCTGCAGAGATATAAATCTTAAACAGAGTCGGAGAGATACAACATCCTTGTCTGAAACGCTTAGTAACTGCAAATTTTTCAGCTAAGAGGTTTCCGAATTTCATTTGGGAGTTTGAACGATAATATAGATCTTTGAGAGCACTAACCAATGTTTGATGTATGTGTGATGAGGACTTCCCATAGTTTATTTAGCGGGACTGTGTCATATGCCTTCTCAAGATCTACAAAAGTCATATGTAGTCTCTATTTGTCACAGCTTTCTTTTCTATAATTTGTTTAAGACAAATGTTATCTGTACATGATATATATAGAATAGAATTCGCCCAAATTCACCCTAGTGCATAGAGATTTCTAAAACACGTACTCCCATAATTGGTAGCACTCGGCGGTGTTTCTATATTTGTTTGTAGGGTTAACTCCTTTAACGTTGTACTTCCTTTTTAAAGTATCCCTATTCAGCGAGTACCCTATCAGTGAGTGGGTAGCCGGAATGAATGAATATCCTAAAATGATATTATTTCAATAATTTTGATTTATCTGAAAGTTCAGCGAAAATATTAGGATACTAGACATCAATGAGTAATTTTTATAAAAACGTGTATTTTACGATCAGCCTGTATATATTAGAAAATATTGTACCAAATCCAATGAAATAATGTTAACACACATACACGTATCTCTAAATATTCGTGTTTATAGGGAATCCTTATACGATAACTTTAAATTCTCATTTTTTTGGCTTCCTAGATTTTCAGCTTATGCGCGCTTTGGCTCGTAACTACTAAAGAAAAATAAAAAATCATATTGAAGACGAATCTAGTCAAATATTCAAATAATATTAAATGTGTTTAGGCATTTAAATATAATATAGTTGTTAAAAATACTGTTTTTGTGTATTTGTTGATTGTTATTTATTGTGACACGTGCTATTAATTGAGTCATTTTAAAACTAAAAAAGAGGTAAGGAAATGTTTATTGTTATCTGTAATTTTAAAAACCATTCTTTTGTTTCATTTATAAAATACATGCATTTTTCTTTTGCTGAAATACTGCAGCCAAAAGCCATAGTACTTAATAGACTTTCAACCGTTATTTCAACTAAAAATATGCTTTTCTGGTGTTATAAATTTTTATTTATTTATTATTCATCCTTTTTGGATTATTAGGTTGAGTATAGATTTGATTTCGATTTTTTCGATGATTAATACATATTTATTAAAGTTTTTGACTCTAGTTCGCCCTATTAAGTTACCTATACCGTATTTTCTAATATCTGATAGTACGATAGTCCCATTATATATTAAAAAGGAGAATTGTCTCATACATAGTGATCCTAGTAATTTTATAAGCAAATACTTAAATTGCGAAGCAGATATATCTTCCGATATACCTACCGCATGTTTGAGTCCAAAATATAGCATCGTGAAATGAGGTGAAAGTGATCAATTTTTACATTATTTTTTTTTTATTTTAAACATTTTTGTATTTCAATATAAGGTTGAATGTTCGAATAATTAAACTTTGATAGTATACAAGGCAACTATCGAACACAGTGATTAATTAAATCTTGCCCAAGTACTTTCGATCAATAGATCATCTTCAGGGGCATTTCGTCGGTTGTGGCCTATCCGACATGAGTAGAATGTCATAAATGTAAATTTGGACATAACAATACAATACACACAGACAAGTTCTTTTTGGATCCAATTCTAGTTGCCAAAAACTAACAGGCAGAGCTCCCAAATATCATAGTGCGAAGGACGAGTCGCTGATTGAACTACAGAAGACCTGCTTACGAAAACAAATTGAAGCAGCCGAAGCTCAAATTTCTGGTGCTCGAGCTTAACAGTCTTCGGCAGAAGCTCAGGAACGGGCCGGTGAGCAATTAGTCAATCATATGGTTCAACGTGATATGGTACAGTGACAAAATTTGTACGTAGATATGTATTTTTATAAAAACAAAGTTATAAACTAAATATGTAATTATGTTGTATTTTGTTTAATATTAATAGAATAAAAATCAAAATATTCGTTAAGAATTTTTATTAGACACTGTACATGTGGTAATAATATATGTATTAGTTGGCATTACGAAATAGAGCCTCCACAACCTCATTTCTACGTTCTGTGCCTCGATTTCAAATTTGTGCTTGATTTCCTTCAGGTATCTCTTAGTATAAACTAAATATGAAATAAATATGTTATTATGTTGTATTTTGTTTAATATTAATAGAATAAAAATCAAAATATTCGTTACGAATTTTTATTAGACACTGTACATGTGGTAATAATATATGTATTAGTTGGCATTACGAAATAGAGCCTCCGCAACCTCATTTCTACGTTCTGTGCCTCGATTTCAAATTTGTGCTTGATTTCCTTCAGGTATCTCTTCATTTGCATCTTGCACTACAATTTGAACTGGATCAAAATCATGGTACGGATCCTGCAGATGTTTAGATATATTATGGAGTACAAATGCACTTACAATATGTTTTGGAATGTTTTTAGTTTTTAGGCGAAAAGTATACTGTAACATTGGAAAACGCTTTTTCAACTAACCAAAACAGCGCTCGATGACACAACTTCCTTCGCATGAATTGTATTATAATTTTGTTGAATAGGTGTGGTTGGATTTTTAAAATGTGTCAACAACCACGGTGCAATACCATATCCTTCATCACCTATCAACTTCCCCGTACTTTTCTACTTACCCATTTAAAAAGTCAAAGTTATGACTGTCACCTGAAGAAGAATTGCTTAAGTTCGAAACATTGATGCTATAATATACTATGATTATTTTAAAAATCGACCTCTTCAAGCGTTTTGCTTATATACTAAAAATAAATGAGTTAATATGGGGGGTAAAACTTATTCCAGCGCACTGTATGAATAAAACTGGACCATTCATGATAATTACCTGAATATTTTACGATAAATATCGTTATTGTATATTCTTCCTAGTTTGTAGATTTTTTTACGACGTTCATAAATGCATTTTTAACAAAAAACATCTACGCCGAAGTCGTTCATCCACCAACTGCACCTAAACTGAAGCAAATTCTACTAAACTAGCAAATACTTCAAAAGCATAGTACATCCTTCTATGTATCTGGTAAATAGTAGAAAATACTACTGAGGAAAGCAAAATGCTTTGTAAGTGTAGTATGTACTACAAAAATGTAGAATTACTTGAAGCATTAGCAGATACTATGTTTTATGCATTTCACCCATTGGATACTCTCTCCAAGTCACGTTGGTTCTCCACATTCGACTTAAAAAGTGGATACTCTCAAGTATAAATTGAGCCAGCTAATCATGAGGAATCTAAATTCTCGATAGGATCAGGCTTTTGACGATTTTTTATACTTGTGCGTTTTGGTTTATGTAATATTCTCACTATATTTGGGAGACTACAGAAGGCATTTTTTAGAAGACTGAGATGGTAAATATTTGGTTTATTTGGCTGAAGTACTTGCGGTTGGAAGATAATTGTAGGAGCATTTCAAGAATCTAAAACTAAGCTCCAAGAGTGTCACACATTTCGATGAGAAGTTAGATATTTAGGCCATATTGTATTCAGTAATGTTTATAATAGCTAACCATGGGAAAGTTAAAGAAATTCGAGAATGGCCAGCATCAAATGGTAAACACGAAATTAAAACTTTCTTCTGGTTATGAACATATAACTGACGTTTTGTCAAAATGGTTGCCAATATCGCTAAGACAAAGAGGATTATTCGTTTGCGGTAAGGATGCTAGTTACATTGTTATAAAAATTGTTTCTTCTCAGATTTATGATGGATAAGAAAAAGTTATTCCCTACTTCAGTAAAGCAGAAAGAAACTACTACGTTACCAGAAAATAACTTACAGGTTAATAACTTAAAGGCATGTCAACATTTTCGCAAATAGCTGTATGGTCGAAAGTTTTTTTTTTGAACTGACCATGCAGGTTTGAAGCGGCTTTTATAATTTCGTAACTCTGAATGTAATTGACAAGATGGCTAGAGTAATTATAAAAATGTGATTATGACATGAATACAGAGTAGAAAATATTTAATCAAATGGCGATGACTTTTAAAGAAAACTGAATGTATAGCGAATTGTAGCACCTATTCAAAATTAGAGAAATGACTTTAGCACGTACGATAAATTACCGTCATAAATAATTAATAGCAACGTCAATAGCTACAAGAGGGCCAAAAAAATTATGCTTGTCTGAAATGAGTCTAGGAATGAAAAACTACCAGAAAGACCAACGTGGCAAGATATAAATGCATATAGTCTAAAAGTAAAAATATTGGAGCCAGTGGAATTGCCTGGTATTAAAAGATGATTTGTAAACAACCTTTAAAAATGACGATGGTACGGAGTCTAAGTTACATCTGATTTTACTGAAAAATAAAGTGTCTCAGAAATAACACTGTCAATTACATGACAGTGCATCATGTAAGCTACTCAGTCACAAAATGTTCGTGAACGGGTCTATTGTGTAAACTGCTAAGAAGATGTAAAAAATGGTACTGAAAATGCAAATTGTACACAGCGGCCGATGGATAAATTGTTAAAAAGAGGGCACCTATGAAACGGTACAATATTGATAGTTCTCTGGAAAGAGTAGCCATCGATTACGGTTGCAGATATACTGGTTAAAGAAGTTTTCAGCCATTTTGGCGTTTCCTTACAAGTCCACCTAATGACATAATTTCGAGTCGGTACTTTTCCAAAACTTTTGCCAATTGTTTGCTGCCAATAAGACTAAAACCCCGTGAATACCCGTGCATGCTTAGTCATATGTAATGGTCGATATAGTGAATCAAACGATGGACAAACGAACAAACACAATTGTTTCTGTTTGTCTATTATATATATATATATATATATATATATATATATATATATATATATATATATATATATATATATATATATTCGGTTTTATAACGTCTTACGACGTTGTCCGATTCCCAACCGCCACTTAATTCTGTCTTGAGTTAGGTCTTCGTCCAGATTTCGAGCGCTAATCGCTTTCCTAACTCCCAGGTTCCAGCTCTGTGGTGGTCTTCCTCGTTTCCTCTTCTCTGGAGTTGCCACATCATCGTTTTTTTTAGGCAATCTTTCGTCCCCCATTCGGCTCACATGCCCATACCATATGAGCTGTTTTCTCTCAATATCCTCAACTATAGTGCCCTCTATACCCATTTGTTTTTTTATCACTTCATTCCGTATTCTGTCGGCTCTTGATATTCTCATCGATCTTCTGATGGCATCCATTTCCGTGGCTTCGACCTTTTTCTTATATTTCTGGGTTATTCTTCATGTCTCAGTTCCATAAAGTAGGCTAGTTTTAACCATTGTCTCATAGATGTTCCATTTTCTTTTCTTTGATAATTCTTTACTCCATAGAACTCAGTTCAAACATGCTATAGCTCTTCGTGCTTGTACAATTCGATGTGCTATTTCTCGTTCGTCTTTTCCACTACGGTCGAAGATGACGCCCAGGTATTTATATTCGTCAGATGGATTTATTTTTTGATTGTCATCGATATCGAGTTGTTTTGCTTCAGCTCCAATTGAAAGGTATTTTGTCTTTTCTAAATTGATATTAAATCTCCATTTCTGGTATTCGTCAATTAGTTTTCTAAGCATGTATTCCATGTCGTCTTTGTCATTTGAGATCACCACCTGATCATCTGCAAACTGTAAAGTATATATGTAATCCTGATCGTTCAATTGTATACCCATTCCTTTGACTTTCCTTTTCCATTGTTTCAGAGCTGCAGAGATATAAATCTTAAATAGAGTCGGAGAGATACAGCATCCTTCTCTGAGACCCTTAATAACTGCAAATTTTTCAGCTAAGAGGTTTCCGAATTTCATTTGGGAGTTTGAACCATAATATAAATCTTTGAGAGCACTAACCAATGTTTGATGTATGTTTGATGTGCCCAGGACTTCCCATAGTTTATTTAGCGGGACTGTGTCATATGCCTTCTCAAGATCTACAAAAGTCATATGTAACTCTCTATTTGTCACAATTTTCTTTTATATAATTTGTTTAAGACAGAAGATGTTATCTGTACATGAACGACCTGCTCTAAATCCTCCTTGTTCTTCGTCTTCAGACGATTGATAATTTTCCTCTATCAGGTCCCGTAGTATTTGACCAGTCGACTCATTGAACTTATGACCGATATCCCTCTATAGTTTTTACAATTTCTCCTGTCACCTTTTTTATATATTGGTGTCATTTATGCTGTTTTCCATTCATCTGGTGTTGGATGTCCATTAATATATTCGTTAAATATCACCGTGATCATTCTATGTAATTTCTCTGAGCCATTCTTTATTAATTCCGTAGTTACTCAATCTGGTCCACTTGCTTTCCCATTCTTCATGCCTGCTATAGCTTTTTGAACTATGTTGATATCTATGGTAATATGCTCTCCCAGAATTTCGATTCTTGATGAATTCATATCTTCTTTAAATTCGTCTCTGTTCTCATTTAATAGATGTTTGTAATAATGTGTCCAATCCTCAGGATTTATGGAATTTAGAATCACTTTCTTGTTAATCGTGTGCATTGTCGTCCTCCAATATAAGATTCTATCTCTCTGCACCTTCTGTCCCATGTCTCATTTTTGGAGGTCATAATTATCTTTCTAGTTTTCTTCTTCATTTCATTGTATCGGTCTTTGTCTGCGTCATCTTTTGTATTCAACCACTTATGGTATAATCTTTTCTTTTCTGTTACAGCATTTTCGACGTCTTCATTCCACCAAAGCTTGTTACTAATTTTATTTTGTTTGATTCCTAAGACCTCCTGTGCTCTTTGATGAATACTTGATATTATGTTCTCATATATGCATTTGTCATTTGTTAGTGTTTCGTCAAGTTTGGAGTCCATTCGAGTCTTATATAGTGTACGGATGCTCTCATGAATTAAACTGGACAGATCTTGAGGAAGATCAATTCTTTCTAAAAGTTGTTCGTCTTGGCTTGATGAGACACTGTCCTTTAATCTATATGGGAAAACAATTTTTGGCCTGACCATGTGGTGATCTGATCCGCATACTGCTCCTCTCATAGCTCTAATACCTCTAATGAGTATTTGTGAATTTTGTTTAACTATCACATAATCTATTATAGACTTAAGATTCCTTGTTGGTTGAAACCATGTATATTTGTGTATGTTTTTGTGACAGTAATATCTGTTAGTTATTTTGAGTCTATTACTTTCACAGATATTTATAAGTCTTTCTCCGTTATCATTTACGACGTCTTCTCCATAAGGTCCAATTACATTGTTGTGGCGCTTGTTTCCTGTTGTTCCATTAATATCGCCTAATAAAAATATTTCTCGATTATTTCCAACTCTAGTAATAACTTCGTTTAATTTTGCAAAGAATTCGTTTTTTTTGGTTATGTTCTCATCCTCTGAGGGGGCATAGATTGCTAGTATTGTTGTTTATTTTATGGTGTAGGGTCATATTTACTTGTAGGATATTTTCATCTATTGCAGTCCAGCCGGTAATTTTCTTTTTAAACTTTTTGTTAATAAGTACGGATACTCCTTTCTTAGCTCTTTCTTTCTTTGGTACGCCGCTATACAGGTGTATGTAGTCTCCTATCATGACTGATCCTGTTTGTCTATTAATCCGTTACAAATGAAACCACTAGTCGAACTTCCACTTCTACTTGTTCGATGTTGGAACGTGAAGAACATCTGTCGTGTGAGCTTGAGTTCGGTTGCAAATCTTCAAAAGAAAATCCGACAACATATCTAGATAGTCAGTGATAGAATTAAAAATTAACATTATTCTCGAACCACAAATGGTAACTTTGAAGTGGAACCTTGTCTGGCTAAGTAATCTACGACGTGAGGAAATTTCCTTAAATTTTTAAAGACACAAGGTCTAAATTAAAAAATATGATAAATTATATGATATGCCGAGTTAAGAAACCATCAAGAGGGAAACCTTACATTTTTCACATATATCGTCTCGCCACATCTACCGTCTCAAACGATACAGAAGAAGCAAGAACTCAAAAAACCTCAATATCAAAACATGGATAGTTGTCGACCGAGTTTTAACGCATTCATGTTTAGTTCTGCATATAGACAAAAAATACCAGATTCGGTGCGAAACATAAAAGTATAACAAAATATTTTCACTATTTTAGAAGATGAGACATCTTTCCAAGACCTCAATATAATCAAAGGAATTTATTTAATACCTAACAAAAAGTTCGCTTAATTGGATTTTTAAAAATCAGCAGCCTAGAGTTAGTAAAATACAGCGTTTAAAATATGGCCGCCGATCGTTGCTTTACCTAAAGACCTGGTGACATATGATGCACGTTAATGTATAATTGTTAATGTATAAGAAAATTAGCTTTATCAAAGATAAGCATGGTTAAGGTGATAATTCAAGTGTTCATGTCATATACTATATATATCCGGTTTTTTAGGCGTTACGCCCGTCCGGTAGGGATCTATGGAGGAGTATCACCGAGCCGAAAGCCCTTATCTCTTGCCGTACTGCTCCACCATAGGCCGATCAGAACCCAGCATATCCTAGTCTAAGCCGCAGATTCATCTAGAATTTTAAACTGCTGCGTTAGACTTTTTGTTTTCTGTACACCGAGCTGGGGCTCGACCCACATCCACTAAACCATTCGACAGTGAAGCGAATGAGAGGTAGCCGCACAGCCCGCTGAGCTATCTGACCGACGTGTTCATATCATGTGTTGCTTTAATCCAAAATGATCTTACTCTTCAATAGCACTTGCTGCTTTGGCCACCGAGAAAATATGTCATAGCTGGGAAGGGTAGCGACAAGTAATGGACAAGTCCGGATCTGAACTGTGACTCAGAATATTATAGAAGTCGGGTGATAGGTAATAAGTAATCTCGATGACTAGAATTTGCTTGATATAATTTTTACCATAAAAACCGGTTTATTTTATGTAACGGGTAGTTATGAAGGAAATAGATAAAAAGATTTCTCACTAAAGATGTATGCAAAAGATGTCTCATGAAAATAATGTCAATACATTATGTTATTGTATACGTTATTGTATATGTTTTACAATAATGTACAAGTTTGGACGTAGACAAGTCTAAAATCTACAAAACTTTTTTTGTACATTCCTAGCAAATTGGATTCTGGCAGATAAAAAATAAGTTGGTCTTTTTAATTTATAATAATCTTTGATAATATACTAAGTGCCCTTCTTTTCTTTAACTTTTGTATCCTATTTTCAGGATCTGATCTGTCCATGTTTCGTTGTATGCTTAATCGTCAATTGCTTCTCTCCCATCATATGAGAACTTCAATACCTTTAAGCAAGGTATATATCAATTGGTAAAACAATGGAATATGTGTCTTAATTTTAGTGGTATTTATTTGTAGATATATTTTCCAATAATTTTTTTGTGAATCAAAGATAGGTTTCAATTGAACAAGTCTCGTATAATAAAAATTGTATAACATTAACTTTTGTATTTTAATTATTTTTGTTAGGATATGGAGTCGAATGTTAACAAGACTAATAATATACAAGACGAAATAAATGAAACAATGAGCTCTTTAGCAGATGATGGTACATATACCATAAATGGATTATTAAGTACATTCGCAAGTATGCAAAGTGAAGAAGACGATCAAGACAAATACGGTGAGTAGTTCATTAAATTTGTATACCATATAGCATGTCGCGACAAAATAGGTATGCCATTATACAGTGTCACGAAATACCTGGATTAAAATTAGTTTGGTAGTGAGTATAGCATTGTTAAATAAAATAATTAGAAAAATTAGTATTTCTAATAGAAAATTAAAAAAAAATAGAAACGGCATAACATTGAAATATTTGGAACCACACTATGTAACTAAAAAAGACATTGTTTTACTGGGCGACTTTAATGCTTGGACAGGCAGAAAAACACACGACAAAGGTGTTGAAAAGCACGGAGAAAATGTATTTAATAACAGTGGCAAAAGGCTAATAGAGTTCTGTGAACTGAACTACCTAAATGCAAATTTTACGCACACACGCACAAATACCCACGAATATACTTGCACCGAGCCAAGAAGTTTAAAATCAATAATAGATGACGTCATAGTGAAGCAAGTAACTGCCACAAAAATTTAAGACGTAACAGTACTAAGGGGACCGGAGTGATCAATTGGCCATTATCTCCTTCGCGCCAAATGGTACTTTCCTTTTCTATACCAATAACTGCAACCTAACAAGCCAATTAATGTGACAAAATTGGATACATTGGAGGCATTTAACTTTCCTACTGTCTGGATGTAGTAAAACTCATTTGAGTGGGGACTTATGTTACTGGTTGGTATAATCTAACAGCATCGGTGTAGTAATATACTATTAAAACCCTCAAATATGGTTTCATCCATTCAAACTCAACCACTGTTTGGTTCTTAGGCTATTTAAGAAGTATTAAAAAAGTTCAGTTCACTGAAGATGGACTGATATGTCAGAAGACGTTTTGAACTTAATCCTTTGGGATTTTTAAAATTTAATTATTAATTAAATATACCAATTACAACAGAGGTGTTTTACTTTAATGTTCGAGTTTTTTAACTATATGATGTACAGCCAACTTCCGAGAATTATCACCTTTCAAAAATTTGATACCTTACCCAGCTATAATTTAAACAGCTTACAACTGAACTCAACGTCTTTCCTGTATAAACTGCGTCTAGCTAATAAATTAAAAAATATAGCATATTGAACTGCTTCAGATATGTACCCATATAATACAGCGTGGAAACCACTTATGGAATAAAATTGTTTGTGTCCTTATTTTAAAAAATAATAAAAAACGTTAAGATATCTTAACTTTTAAATTTAAATGTGCGCTTTTTAAACATAAATTTGAATGTACAAGGTGATCCACTCAAATCTGGCATAGTCCATAATCTGTATTTTAAACGAAACATCCTGTATATTTTTTTCAAGACTGTAACGATGTCATCACCGTTCAACAGCTTGAACCGTAGGAGTGTCAGCGTTGGCGCTTCCACCTCCTTAGCACGATGTGAGTGGGGTTCAGAGCAACTATTTAAGGCATATGAATAGCGGCATTTATTCAGTCTTTAGCTTAGCGCCTTAGGCTCCTCTCTTCGCCAGTGTCCTGAACTGGCGAGCCCACCCGGACGGAGGTAGTTCTGCTTTGAAGTTCATGCTCCATCCATAATTAAGCAAAGTCTACCGATATCGTGTCTTGAACTTTATCGCGGACCTGCATAAGCGATTTTGTAGTTGACGAGTGTGTTCGCAGCTCCCGCTGGTTTGAAGCGGAAGCGAATATACGTCTGAGTGCGATTGACTACACCTATTTTATTTGTTATTAATAATTATTTTCTTTCTTTCTTTTATAGGCGTCCGCCGGGGATTCATTCATCGCGGGATCCAGACGGAGCGCAGAGTTAATTTCTACGGCACAGGATTTATTTTATTTTCATGTATATTGTACATATATTAGATCAATAGACATATTTTTATTTTAACCTGTGTTTTACTGAGTCTGTCGTCCTGAAAGAGCTACCCGTTACAAATTGGCGCCCGAGAAAAATTGAGGATTGGAAAGTTACTAAAAAAAAAAAAAAAAAAAAAAATTTAGTAACATGCCGACAGATAAGGACACAGACTCAGTAACAGGTACATCCTGGATAAACCGACTTTGCAAAGAGGAATTGCAGAGCGAGGCCGAAAAATTCGGCTTAGATTCCAAGGGAACCGTCGACGAATTGAGAGTACGACTCAGGATATATTTTAAAAATCGCGAGGAAGCGACAGGAGCAATGCAAAAAGAAAAAACTTCCAAGGGAACAGAATCCGACACACTGGCCCAGGAAATTTCGGGCATCCGAAGACAATTACAAGAATTAACAATAGCGAAACAAATGGGGCAATCAGAATTGCTAAATCAAGTACGAAGGTGGAACACACACTTCGACAAGAAACATTCGGATGCAATAGGATTCTTAGAGAGGATAGACGAATTAAGCTTGGCCTACGAGATCGATAAACAAGATCTATTAAGAGCATTACCAGAGTTATTAGGAGACCACGCTTTGTTATGGTACAGAAACAATAACAAAAATTGGAAGTCATGGGCAGATTTCAGCGAAGATTTTAAAAAAGCTTTCTATCCCAGAGGATATTTGCTGCAACTAGAGGAGCAAATCCGAAACAGAAAACAGAGACAAAATGAGCCGGTAGATAGATATATCACGGAGATTCAAACACTAACCAGACGAGAAGGATCGTTTTCCAGAAACCAAGAACTCGAAAGGATATACAAAAATCTGTTACCAGAATATAAGCTTTATGCTCGCCGCCGAGATTTTGAAAACTTAGCCGAATTACAAGATTTAGCTCAAGAATACGAAGCTTTAGAAGACGAAAAGAACCGATCAAATCAGAGTTGCCGTGGAAACTGGAGACGCACGGACCAAGCAGAGTACGATGCCAAAACGACATGCTTTAGATGCAAGATGCCAGGTCACATCCGTAAAAACTGCAAAAACCCGTGGAAAAAGTTTTGTTCGCGTTGCGGCAGAGAAGGGGTTTACAGTAGCGACTGCTGTTTTAGGCGTCAGGGAAACGAACTACAGACTGGAGAAACAAGGAGTCGTCCCAGTCTGTAAAGCAAGATTCGACTCCATTCGTTTTCGCCGTTACACAGCCAGCAAGCAATGACATTCGGCTATTCGCATCGCTGAAAATAGGGCAAAGAACATACAGAGCGCTCATCGACACAGGAACCACTAAAAATTACGTCGGGGATAGAATAGCTAAGACATACAAAGACTCTCTAGATAGCTACAGCGGGAGAACAAGACTAGCAAATGGAGCGTCAATGGAGCTTAACCAGAAGTTGACGATTGAATGCGAGATCGATAGGTTACAAACCCGACAAACATTCATAGTAATGCCAGGGTTGACGGAAGATGCCTTACTAGGAGTGGAATTCCTTAGGAACCATTCTATCGAACTTAAATTCGATAAACATACGAGCAAACAATTCGTACAACATCAAGAAGAGGCATGTAATACTTTAAAAGACTCCACCAAAAATACAGAGCTAGAAAGGTTTCTAAGAAAAGAACTAAGGGAGTTTGAGAACATAACAGGACCCACTAACTTAATAGAACACGAAATAAAATTGAAGACAAAATGCGATCCAGTCAAACAGCCTTATAGACGACACAATCCCGCAATGCTGCAGATCATCAACCAAGAAGTAGACAAGATGTTAAAAGAAGGAACCATCGAACCCTCCACAAGTGGTTGGAGTTCACCGATTGTACTAGTTAGGAAAAAAGATAACTCGTACAGGTTTTGCATTGACTTTAGAAAAGTCAACGAACTATCAGATAAGGACGCATATCCGTTACCCAGAATATCGGAAATTCTGGATAGACTTAAGGAAGCAAATTTTATATCAACCCTCGATTTGAAACAGGGATATTTTCAAATACCCCTAGAAGAAACTAGCCGCCCAGTGACAGCATTCAGCGTACCCGGAAAAGGCCATTTTCAGTTCAAAACCACCCCATTTGGACTGCATTCCGCAGGAGCCACTTTCCAACGCCTACTGGACAAGGTAATACCTCCTGATATGGAATTCGCGTTTGCCTACTTGGATGATATCGTAGTAATATCTAAAACGCTCCAAGAGCATTTAAATCACCTACAGGAAGTCTTCCGAAGACTGAAAGAAGCCAAGTTACAGCTGAACTTTGAAAAATGCACGTTTTGCCAGTCAGAACTCAGATACTTAGGACATGTGGTTGGAGCAGAAGGAATAAAAACTGACCCGGAGAAAACCAACGCTATAACCGGACTTACAGCACCGAGAAATGTGCGTCAACTCCGCCGGTTTCTAGGAATAACATCATGGTACCGCCGATTCATAGAGAACTATTCGACAATAGCAGGACCGCTAAACATGCTTCTGAAGAAGAAGATAAGATGGAAATGGACCGATAAGCAAGAAAACGCGTTTGAAGAGCTAAAATCAAAACTTACATCGGCCCCAGTATTAGCATGCCCCGATTTTTCAAAAACATTTTACCTGCAAACAGATGCGTCGAACTGCGGACTTGGAGTCGCACTAACACAGAAGTACGACGGCCAGGATAAAGTAATCGCATATGCTAGTCGAACCCTCACACCGGCCGAGACAAAATATTCCACAACGGAAAAAGAATGTCTATCCATCGTATACGGGATAAAGCAAATGAGGCCATATATAGAAGGATACAATTTTAAGGTCATATCAGACCATCAGTCCCTCAAATGGCTGAAGAACCTTAAAAACCCGTCAGGTCGATTAGCCAGGTGGAGTTTAGAACTGCAACAGTACGATTTTGAGGTAATATATAGAAAGGGAGTCCTCAACAAGGTAGCAGATGCTTTGTCACGACAACCACAGGAAAACCAGAGCGAAGAACCAGAGTTGGAATTATTAGCATCAGAATTGGAATCATGCAGTTGGTACGATAATTTATATAGAAATGTACTCCAGAACCCAGACGATTTCCCGGATCTACAAATAACAAACGGGAAGTTATATAAACACATTTGGAGCAGCCGTAATTTAGCCGACCCAGAGTTTAATAACCCATGGAAGTTATGCGTAC